CCGACCTCTCCAAAGGCTAGATTTCCAGGAGTTTATACACATAAGTCATTCATCACCCCCAAAAGGACACTTCCTGGAAATAGAAATGGGTTCAGAAAGGATTTGGGCAAATCTGTGAATGACAGAACAGCCACAAATAGCTACTCAGAGACGTCGGGCTTCACACCTGACCTTTAAGATTGACGTCAAGGAAGATAGCTGTGGCCTCTAACGGTGGTATCTTAGGGATGGTGCTGGCACCTAAAGACTAGGTCAGATGGATCTGCCCCAGAAGGGCAGTGTCCATGTGCTTATATGGCCTGGCGCAGAGCACTCAGGGCTGGGCATCAGGAGAGCCGGGCTCCTGACCCTTATCCATTTATGGCTATGTGACCTTGGGCAAGTCACGTATTGGCTCCGAAGCTCATTTTCCTCGTCTGCAAGGTGATGCTGAACATGGTCCACGATCCCTGATCCAAAACTCTTGGCTACTACAGAAATCCAAATTGTTTGTATTTCAGAAAGATACTACAGAGCCCACCGTATTTGCCAATCCCAGAGGAGTCTAGGGAAGCACTCTGTAATCAAACACATTAATATTTTTGCAGCAAAACATATGAATATTCAAAATAGGCAGGATAAATATAGTCTCACATCAGTTCAGATCAGGTTTTGCCACTAAATGAGTTGCACAAAACCTTTTAGCTTTCAGAGTTTCTCAGACTTCATATTCACAGATATGGAATGATGGACTTGCTCAGGGGTAGGCTGCAGAGTGAGGAGAGAGAAAGTCATCAAAAGTACTGGGCAAAGAAGAAAGTGCTACAACTGATCCAAGGCACTGTTAATATTATCGCCGTTGCTGTCGTTATTCTACAGCACATTCCCAGCAGGGCTAGGTCTGACCTCAGAGGTGCCCAAAGCCGGCAGGATGATGAAAGGGGTCCAAGAGTAAGAGAGTAAGGGCAACTGCTAAGCTCCCCAAAGTGGCTGAAACCAAGGTCAACAGCTGCTGGCCCTTTACATGGTCAACCACAGAAAACAGAGCAGCGGGCCACCTGAGAGAGACCAAGGCAAGGAGCCAGGCAGAAATTGGTCATCTCGACTATGTGGTTCGTGCACCCTAGAGCTGGTCCTAAGAAGCAGCCTGGAAGGGCGGCACACATGGGCCTGGGGAGCTGGCTGAGATCCATCCTTGTGCTTCCCGAGATTCCCTTCAAGAACCAGGCAAGAGGTCCTAATGTGTGTGTGTGTGTGTGTGTGTGTGTGTGTGTGTGTGTGTGTTTGCAGGATTCAGGCCTTAACCAATCTAGGGGTCTGCTGTAGAAGATTCAGAGTTATGCTATATGTTGGCAAATTGAACTCCAATAAAAAGAAATTTTAAAAAAATTAAAATTAAAATTAAAATTAAAAACAAAAAAGAAGATTCAGAGTCCCCGGGAAACCAGACCCAGCTCTGTTTCTGCAGCACTCAATTCAGAAACACATTCAGACCAGGCTGTGTGAGCCTGGGGAGACTGGGGGGCTCAGAATGAGGACCATGTTCACACCTAAGTCAACCATACCGACAGCCGTAATCTTATCAACCCATGTATATACCTTTGAGAAGGAGAAGGTAGGTACACCTGGCTCAGGTGAGCTGGTCCCTAGCTTATCCCTAGCTTCTCAGACCCAGATAAGCCGACATGCAGAACAGCTCCAGCCTTGCAGACGCAGAGAGAGAGAAAAAAAGAAAGATGAAGCTAAAGAAGCAGAGTCCAATCTTCCAGAAGCCTGCTGGGGCCCTCCCTCCCTCAGATCCTGTCCTCTGTGATGGGAGCACACCGCAGAAGGTTGTGGTGTCCAGAACCTGGATCTGGGTTCTGCACCTGCCTGCAGAATGCCACTGGTCTTTGGGGTCTATGAACTTTCTGGATCCTTCAGGTAAGTAAGTCCCATTTAATTTACCCAAGGAGCCTCTGTCCTGTCTTCCCATCAGTCCACGACTACAGGTGATGCTGCTATGCTGTTCCTGCCGAGCACCAAGCTCTTCAGAGACCACATCTTTGCGAGTATCTTCTGTCTGCAGCTCTCTCCCTCACCAGCCTGGGACTCAAGCAGCCTCATGACCCGATTCAGACCCAACTCTCCCACCTGTGTACCTTTCCTGCCCTCTCCCCCTTCTCCTCCTCCCCTCCATGCCCTTCTGCTCCCTGAGGATCCAGCACCAAGAATTGCCAGGTACCTTAACCTCTAACAACATTTTAGTCTATGGCTTAAAAGTAAAATAAAATGAAACCTGTAGCTGTTGTTTTGTCATGTTCATCACTGCTGTTTACAGCCAATCCCACAGCATCCTGAGGTCAAAGTCTCCCCTTCAGACTATTTTGTCTCACCCTTTTATTTGTACTAGAGGTTGTGATGTATGGGGACGTACAGAGAACAGGAATTAGGGAAGTGGCACCACAATCCAGGAGTTCTGAGGGAGAGAGGAAAAAACCTCCCACCGAGTGCACCTAACCAGAAGCCAGGGGGCGGCCACAGGAACCTTTTTATGCCTCCTTGATTTCTTCAATCCCATGGCTTTCCACCCAAGGCTCTGCCCAGGCTATAGTTTCTTGGGCTGCAGCAGCTTACTTTGTGCCCTAGTCAAAAGCACATTTGCCGTGTCAGCAGCCCGCAGTTGAGGATCCCTGGACCAGTGCCCTCCCCTTCCTAAGCTCACAGGGATGGGGACATCTTCCGCACTGCCTCCTGGCCAGCAGAGCCCCGAGGGAAGGCAGCGCTGTGGATACTACTCTCTAGACTTCAGAGTCAAGGGAGGCAATCCAGAGACCTGAACAAAACGGGGGACCGATAGGTCAGTGCATCACCTGCACACTTACCGTGTGCCACTAGCTCACCACTCTAGGGATTTCTGGAGGTTACTTCATCAATTCAGCACCATGTTCCACTGACCCTCCCAATTTTAATTTTTTTAAGTGGGCTCCATACCCAGCACAGAGCCCAACACGGGCTAGAACTCATGACCCTGAGATCAAGACCTGAGCTGCGATCAAGCATCAGGATACTTGATGGAATGAATCACCTAGACGCCGCATCTCTGTTTGAAAAAGTAAAACAAAGCTCAGGAAGGTTACATAACTATCCCAAGTTCTCACGGAGAGATGAAGCTAGTTCCATGGCCCATCCTCCGCGCAGTGTAATACAGCCAGGCCTCCACCTCTCCCCAGAGGACAGAGGGTCCCCACAGAATGGGTGCCTAGACTTCCTGGGGGCAGGTATCTTCTGTAGCCCACCCAAGTATAGAAACAACCAGGACCAGAAGAGAACCAGAAATATAATTACTTTCCACCGTACTCCACTTCTCATAGCACCTATCTGAAATAATTCACATCTAGAAAAGATGATAAATCTATCCAGTCAAGTTTGGGGAGGGGGGCTTCCTCTTTAGGAAAGTTTGAATGAAAAACAAACACATCCTTGGTCTATTTCCGAGTGGTACAAGCATCAAGAAGACACACCTTGCTGGTGGTTATTTTTTGTGCCCGCCGGAAAAATCCGGCTACATTTAGCTCAGCAGCAATTTCCACGAAGTCAGTCTCAGAGCCACGGATCAGTCAGTGTCGGAGCAGGTTCCGGCTGGGCTTGGGGTAGTCAGCCAACCTCCAGAGGCCTCCCCGGCCCCCACACCCTCTCACATCCCCTTCTCCTGTACCTGACCCAGCAACAGAGGAACAGGTGGAGGAAAAGCATTGCTAAAGTGCAGAATACCCCCAAGATCAATAAAACAGCAGGCGAGAGGGTGTACAGGAAATGTTATTGTGGATGGCAACCAAAGGGGACTCCCTGACACCATTCACCTGACCCTGGGACCAGATGGCAAAATGACGGGCACATGGTCACAAGAGATCCAAGTAAAAGCCAAACGCACTACTGAGTCCGTCCATATTTACTCCACTTATGATGAGCAATTCTCAAAACCCTCTGTTCTATAGACGTGATCCTTTTCAGTGCCAAGTGACTGCAAGAGGCGACAAAGTACAAGGCGACTAAGATCTCAATGTGAATCCAACCCTGTCTCTTATGGTCTATAGGTGACCCCAGGAAAAGGTCTGAGCATCTTCCTACCTGGAAGGAAAACATCACCCAGCTCGGAGGACTGTTGTCACAAAAACGTGACTCCATCTAAAGCAGTCAGTCTTGCACCAGGCACGTATGTCCTAAGAGCTCAACAAATGGCCATTTCACAGAGGAAAAAAAAAAAAAAAACAGAAGCCAGAGGAGAGCCAATGCTAGCCCAAAGTTGCATTTAATTCAACCTTGAGATAGGATAAGAATAAGACTGCAGGGCTGCAACACTGAAACTCTCGTACCCATCCTTCCCCCTTGAATTTAAATCAACTCCCTCTGAATGTGTTTGCAGGGGCAGAGAATGAGGAAGGAGAGGAAGCAACATTCCTGGTGATAAATGGTCACCAGGAATGACGTGTAGAACCTGCAGCTGCTCACACAGCCCAAGCAGTGTCCAGCCCCTCCCATGCTCCAGAGCTGCACACTGCCAGCCTCGGCAGGGAGCACTACCCAGGGACCTGGGGACCTGAAACCAGGCAACACAGCCAGATCCAGACCATGGAAGACCCTCTACCCCAATCCCACTTGCCCTTCTCCCTCCCTCTGGTTTATTAGTCACTCCAGGTAAAGGCAACCAGACCCAACGACAGAAGGACCAGACGGGTGCTCAAACGCAACGAGAAAGAGAAGAGAGCCTGGTAACAGGCTGGGTCCCTGAGTTCCCCAATGCTCAGGAAAGACCCAAGGCCCTCTTGCCACATTTGAAGATTATGTACCCCACCCCACCCCGCCCTGCCATCAGGACTTAGAAAAATCATTTTGCTTTGTTTTGTTTTGTTTTTAACAAAGAACAGGGAGGACAGGGGAGCCAGGCCCCAGGGCTTGGGAGAAGCTGGGCATGAAGGCAGGGTGTCAGAGCTGGAAGTCTGGGGCTAGGGTGTGGGGTGCGGGGCTGGAGAGGACCCTACCTGTGCTGCTCCACAGCCTCGTTATCAGGAAGCTCCACCCCACACACGCTGCACTGCTCCCCGATGGTCCGGCTCTCCGACTTCATGCCCACAGCCAGCTCACCCAGTTTGTTGAACAGCTCCCTCTGGATGAAGCCCTGGGGCAGCAGCCCCCCGTAGGTGCTGAAGTCCATGGACACAGCCAGGGCAGGCTGCACATGGAGGCCAGGAGTCATTGAGGAGGGCATGCTCAACACGGCGTCGGCCTTGTGGTTGGGCAATACGGAGTAGATGCCCAGATGTTTCTCAGCGGGGGGCGCAGGGTGCTCCGGTCGGCCGGGGGGCCCCTGGCCAGCCTCGGTTGGAGGCGGCAGCTGCTCAGCGCTCTCCTCACGCCCGTAATGCAGCTCCCGAGCACTGGTGATGACGCTGCTCCGAGTTGGGGTCCCGGGCCCCTCTTTGCCTCTCTCTTCCACTTTGTCCCCCACGGCACCCACCACACTGGACTCGGTGGCCCCAGGGCTGTCCTGGCCAGGCACCTCATCCACCTGCATCATCTCGGTCTTCACCTCAGCCACCGCAGCGTGCCGCCCACCCCCAGTCATTGCTGCCTCCTCGGGCCCTGCGGGAGGCTGAAGAGCTCCCTGGAGGAGAGACTGTCCTATGGTCATCAAACTGTCCACCGCGGCCTTGGTGGGACTCATGGCTGAAGGACCGAAGGAAGTGGAGACTGAGGGGCTCTGGTCCACCAGGGGTCCGGGGAGGCTCTGTGCAGCCACGCTGGCATACCCGCTCTCCTCGCTGGAATGCTTCGAGATGAAGATGTTCTTGAGGTACCGGGCTCTGCGGTCCTCTTCCTCCTCGGCCCCACCATCAGCCATGGTGGCCTCCGTGTCATTGTCATCTGAGGCCTGGATGGTCTCCAGGATCTTCAGGCACTGTTCCTCCAGGTACTCGATCTCTAAGATCTCGGCTGCGTACAGCAGGTCATCCAGGTCCTCCGCCTTGGCCTGCAGCGTGGCCGTGTACGCATACTCCAGAATCTGCTGGAAGGTCTTCGGCGACAGGAAGTCCAGAGTATAGTGCTGGCTGTTGCGGTGGAAGAGGATCTCAAACATCTTGCTGGTACAGGCCAGCACAGTCCGGTGGGCGTGGAACTCCTGGCTGTCCACCATGATGACCACATCGCACAGCGTCCCAGCCAGCCGCATCTGGTTGGCCTTACACAGGAGGCCTGTGGGGTGGCTGGGGTTCTGCAGCTGGATCATGCCCATCTTCGTCAGATCCATGGCGCTCCCCTCGGCTTAGGCATGAGGCTCTCTTTCCTTTCTGGCTCTGCGTGCGTGGTGGGGCTGGGTGGGTGTCCGGGCCGAGCAAGAGGGCTGGAGGGGATAAGGGAGAGGCGGGGGAAAAAAATTAGAGAACAAAAGATAGGTTAGTGTCCCAAAATGCAAGGAGTCAAACCACACAGCACCCCCATAACCCCCTAGTAATAAGATAGCCTGGGCGATTTTCACCGGGCGGGAGGCGGGAGGGGAGGAAGCTTCCTATAACCTAGCACATCTGCCTTTACAAACCCAGGTAGGAAGAGAGTCAAGAAAAGGTCCTGCCACAGCATAAGCTTCGTTCACTGCTCTGTGATGTCCGTCAGATGAAGCGAAATGGGAATTACAGTGAAGTCTTGGGAATCCTGGGCTTTCTTGAAGTCTGAGGGTAGGTTCCCATACAGGGCCAAGATGCATGATGAGAAAGTGCCGGCACACACTCTAAGTAAGAATTTGACCCCTTCCTCTAGTCCACTGAAGCCCTGGATTTCACCTTCAACCCCTGTGCAGTAAACCTCAGCTTCTCAACAAAGTCTCTCTACGTTGTGCCTCGCCGTGGCAGCCGGAGGAGCACAGGCAAGCCTACCTGGGGCTAGCAGCCGACAGTCCTGGCCCACGGAAACCTCTGAGCAAGGGCGCTCCTCTCTGGCCCATCCCACCCCCCAGCCAGTGCCTCCTAGGCCTCTGCCCCTCCACTCTTCTCAGGGCTGCAAGAGACTGACCCACTCATGCCCTGACCACTGCCCCCCTCGCCGCCCAGGCAACAACGGGAACACACACCTGTAACCTTCACACTAGTTTGGCTTGCTTCCATCCATAGGTGCCTCAGAGCTACTGCACGGGTAATCCAAAATCTGGCCTGTGTGTGCACATGGGCATGCATGTGCACGCAGCAGCCAGAGGGGGAGAGTCAACACGTGTGCACACACTTATAGGAGATGTCAACCTACCTCCTGCCCACGAGTGCCCAGCAGACAAGAGGATCTCTAAGAAGTAGGGGAACAGGCTATGAAAGATCTAGAGAGAAAGATCATAGAAAACATGCACCCCGATAGCCAGGTGCGCACATGCCGAGTACATGAACTCCAAGCATGTCCCACAGGCTCCCAAGTCCTGTGCCCAGGAGCCACAGCTGGCGCTGGACATGGCTTGGAGGCACCAGAAGTGATAGTGGTGCAGCATGTACTGTGTGTGTTAGAAACAGGAGGAAGAGAGAACAGGCTGGGAAACAAAGGCCTCTCCCAAAGCGCTGTTTGGGATCAGTAGCAGGGCTCTGGGAGTCCCCTAGCCGGTTTAAAGTGCTAGAAAGACATCACCCAGACCGAGGTGCCCCCCAGCCTCTGCCTTGCCGTGGCCAACGCTGCAGTGAAAGGAACGGGGAGCCCAGCAGAGCACAGGCTCTCCCTGGCTCTTGAAACGCTGCCTGCCTCCGCCCCCAAAAGGAGCCCTATTGGCTCCAGAGCCACAGATCTCACGCGGAAAGGGTTAACAGGGCTGCACAGTCGGGACACTTCTGCTGCCCACCCTGGGGTGGGGACTAAGGCCATCCGGAGTGAAGCTGCCGCTCGTCCGCGCCGTCCGCCGCGCGCGCTTGCCGTCAGCCCGAGGGGCTTCGGGGATCGAGGAGGGGCCGCCGGAGGAATGGAAGCCGGGCCCCCCGAGTCCCCCCGCGGCACACCAGGGTGCTCCGGGCCGGCCGACCCGCACCCTCGGCTCGGCTCGGCTCGGCTCGGCTCGGCGGCGCGGGCTGCAGCGCCCGGCCCCGCGGGCGGGGGGACGCCGGCGCCGACCCGCTCGGGCTCTGGGGATCCACCTCGCTCGCACGCGCCCCAGTCCCAGCCGCCCCCACGGAGACTTGGACGCGACTTCGGCAAACTCGGGGAAGCAACTTTTCCCGGGGAGCCAGACCGCGGGAAGAAAGGGAGCCGGGCGCGAGGCAGAGTCCGGGCGGGCTGGACGCCGGGGCGCGAGCGGCGCGAGGAGGCGGACCCGGCCCGCGCCCGGGGGAAGCACAAAAGCCCGACAGCGGCGTGGGGAAGCAGAGGCGAGCAGGGAGCCGCCGGCCCTCCCTCGCCGGCCCAGGGCCGTGACCCCCGGCGGCCACGGGCAGGCTGCCCGGCGCGGCACTGGGCGAGCGCCCCGGGGAGCCGCGAGGGCACCGCTGCAGGCGCGTCCGCGCGCGCGAGGGGTCCGCGGGCCGCGCCGCCGAGCGCACCGCGAGCGCGTGCGGGAGCCTTCGGGGGGCCGCGCGGGGAGCTGCGGGCGCCCGGCCGGGGGGACGCGTCCCGACGCATCAGGTGCAGAGCCCGGGCACCCCCGAGCGCCGCCCGCAGCGCACCGCCAGCTCCCGCGCCACGGCCGGTCCCGCCGAGAGCCGCGGAGGGCCCGGAGCCCCGAAGACCCTGCGGAGCCCCGCCACGGCCGCCCCTCCCCCGCCCCGCGAAACGGGTGGGGGTCGAGCCCAGTCGGGAGGGAAAAGACCCCACCACGTTTTTCAAAGAGAGAGCAAGCCCAAGTGGGTCCGAGCCCCGAGCCCCGAGCCCCGCTCCCCTCCGCCCCGGGTCCGCTCCTCGGAGCCCCGGATTCTAGCCTCGCAGCCGGCCGGCAAATAAGCACAAATAGACCACGACCCTGTCGCGCCCGCGCACGGGCCGCGCACCGGGGACCGCCCGCCTGCTCGGGCTCGGGCTCCGGCTCGGGCTCCGGCTCGGGCTCCGGCTCGGGCTCCGGCTCCGGCTCCCGCCGCCCGCCGGCCCCGCCGGTACAAAGCCTCCGGCTCTCCCACCCTCCGCCCGCGCCCTCCGCGCCCGCGGGCCGCCCGGCCCCCACCTCCCGCCCGGCCGTGCCCGGGAGCGGAAGGGCTGGGAGGCAGCTGCGCCCAAGCTGACAGCCGGGGCTCCCCTCGCAGCCGACCCCCAACCCGCGGCGGCCGCAGCAGGAAGGGGACAAGCCGAGCGAGGCGAGGCGCACAGCCCGCGGCCGAGCGGCCCGAGGGAGCGCGCCCCCCGACCTCTCCGGCCCCGGGGCGCCCCGGCGCGCGCCCCCGGCGAGCGGTGCGCCCCCGCCGGCCCCGCACTCACCGCCGCCGAGCCGGGCGCCGCGGGTGGGTGTGCGCGCCCCGGGGTGTGTGCCCGCGTCGGGGCCGGCTGTCGCTGGGAACTGTTGCTCTCGTATCACGGCGGCAGCGGCGGCATCGCCCGGCAGTTCGCAGTACCCGCTCTCATCGCCCTCAACTCCTCTCTGCTGCGAGGTTAGCAAATCACCACCGGCTGCGGCGCCTCCGCCGCGTCCCACGTCAACGCCGAGCCCCCTCCCCTGCGAGGCCCCGGCGCCTCTCCATCTTTAGTGCTGGCGGCCGAGCCCGGCGCGCTGCCCACAGCGGCCCCCCTTCCCTCCCCCCTCCCGCGCCGTCCCCGGCCTCAGCCCGCCCACCCCCCCCACCCCCCCCGACTGGCCGAGCCCGCGCGCGCTCCCCGCCCCACCCTCCCCTCCCCTCCCCTCCCCTCCCCTCCGCGCCTCCCCTCCCGTCCCCTCCCCTCCCCGCGCGCCGCGCTCCGGGCTTCGCCTGACATCTAGCTGCTGCTGGGGCGCCGGCGGCCGCCGCTCACCGCTCCCCGCTCCCCGCTCCCCGCTCCCCGCTCACCGCCCGGACGGAGAGGGAGGAGGGAGCTCGCGGAGAGCAGTGCCCGGGACTCGGGACCCTTAGTGGGGGGGGGGGGGGCAGCTCCCACCTTCCACCCCAGGTTTTTTTCTTTCCTCTGGACGCGGGTTTTCTTCTTCCCTGCTGCCCCGGGCGCGGAGTTTCGTCCCCGGCTCCAGTGTTTGCCCCAATCCCGTGCGTGTCATCTCGCCTTTCACTTTGCTCCGGGCTCGGGGCCGCCTCCCCGGGACCGCGACATCGGTGGCCGGAGGTCCCTTCCGCGGCCCGAGCCCAGGCCTTCTGTGCCTCCAGGCGCCGGGCATCCGGATCGCGAGACGTCTCCGGGCGCGGTTCCCAGGCCCTGGGGAGCTGGTGCCGGAGGGCCACGGGGATCAGCCGCCCAAGGGAGACCCCTCCCCCGTTTTAGCTGCGGGGATCCCGGGAGGCCGAGAGCAACTTTTCTCTCCCCGGAGTCTTGAGCATCCCCTGGGCTCTGCTCCCTTCCTTGCCCTCCCACCCCTACCCGCCCCCCTCCCGGGAACCTGGTTGGAGACGGATCCCGAGAACCGCGTCCTGCTCAGCGCAAAGCCTTCAGGGGGCGAGTGAAAGCCGGAAAAAGCTCCAGAGCCCCCAAAAGACCCTCTTCCTCTCGGCAGGCCTCTCCACTCCAGGGGGAGGGGGGGGGAGTTCAGATCACTAACCTCAGGGTAGAGAAGCCAGAGGAAATCTACCCTTCCTCGGGCGGTGGGCAGCGGAGAGACCCCTTCTAACCCCCTTTCCCTGGAGCTTAGCGGAGGTAGGGCGCACGCAAGAGGTGGAAGCTCTCTTTTGAACATCAGCCTTGGTGGCTGGCTAACGTCTGGGATCGTTGGGGTGAGCCTGGTGGTGGAGAGCGCCCTCCCTGGGTCTCCGGACAGTCAGCCCTGGAGGGCATGCGGTCTTAGCCTCGCGGGGGCTTCACTCAGGGAGACCTGAATCCCCACATTCTGTCCCTGACACACTGGCGAGTCAAAGATTTGCTCAGGACTCCTATAATAACGGTGTTTGTCTCCGGTACTGCCCCAGATCTAGAGTCAGGCCCCAAGAACTGTAGGGTCATGGAAGGTGGCAGACACCAACTAGAGGCAAAAATCTGCTTCTGGGCCCCGGAAGGCCAGAGTGCAAGGTGCTCAGGATCACAAGAACAGGCAAAGGGGGAATAGTCCCAGGGACAGGCAGCTCCATCCCTGCAAGCATGGTCCTGTCTCTCAGCGGGGAAAGGGCTCAGCCCTGCTGGAGTCAGAAGACAGAAGAGGGCAGAGAAGGACACTTCAAAGTGGAGGGAGGGAGCCAATGACCCTCTGATAGCCCTGAACACAGCAACACCTAACACATCCCTGGAAGGAACAGTCTGGTCCCCGGGTATTGATTCTGATTAACAATAGAGAGCCAGGGCAGCCCGGGTGGCTCAGCGGTTTAGCGCCGCCTTCAGCCCAGGGCATGATCCTGGAGACCAGGGATCGAGTCCCGCATCGGACTCCCTGCAGGGAGCCTGCTTCTCCCTCTGCCTGTGTCTCTGCCTCTCTCTGTGTGTCTCTCATGAATAAATAAATAAAATCTTAAAAAAAAAAAACAATAGAGAGCCAGCTCGGTTATGGACTGTTTACCTAGCTAAGGTCTATGCTATCTTCAAGAGGAAGGCATTTAAAGAAAGTTAAGAAAGCACTGGTCGGCCAGGAGAGCAGGAGGAGAGGGATAGAAGAAGAGAAGAAAGACTCTGCTAGAGCCTCAGTCAGTTTCTCTAACTCTGCTAGAGAAAAGGGTTTCCTTTTCTCAGTGGAAAGAAGAAACCATCTTTGAACTTGTAGAGTCTCTGCCTGGAGATGGTGCCTGTGCGAAGGTTGCTGCCCTGCCATCCACATCCACCTACCAGCCCCTCCTAAGTGCAGAAGCAGGAGAAGCACACAATTAACCCTTGATCTTAATCTCCTATTAATCCTCAAATCAGAGAAAGAGAGAAGCCTTGGAAACAATGGGAGAACAGGAACAATCCCTCCATGGCCCTGCCCCCCCCCCACTCCATGCCATATTCACTGGATGTGAAAATCTCCCCTTGCTTCATAAACCCTGCCCATTAAAAAGCCCAGCCCTTGTTAGTAAGTGTTAAAGAGAGATTAATGCCTGAATTTAAGAGGTGGAGAAGGTAACAAAAAGGAGGAAGGCAGGCGAGGCTGTGGGCTGAGAGCCAGCATTGGGCTCCAAGCGTTTCCACTTAGCGCTGAAGGCTGGCTGCACAGCAGTTTGATAAGGTTTATTGGGCCCAGATAAAGCAGCAGCAGCTCCCCCACCAAACCTGGCACCATTTATAGCCAGAGCTATGTCCTTGGGTCCCCCGAAAGGCTGATGAGAATCCCCAGTTCAGAGATTTCATATAGCAGCACCTAAAAACAAGCAGGATGGAAAATTATAGGAGAAAACTCTCTCTCTCTCTCTCTCTCTCTCTTTCACTCTCACTCTCTCTTTCTCTCTCTGATGTTCATGTATTTGTAGTGATTTTTTTTTTATTTTGCTTGAAGCGTACAGTAAGGGAAGCCGGGACAACCGTTCAGACAGGTCTAAAAATAGGAGAGACCTCAGTCTTCCGAAGAGATCATGCTGGAGACGGGAATAGAGGCATTGACCTTTGAATAGAATTCCATGTTAAATCTTCTTACTCCTTTATCTCCTTTATTCACATCCCTTCCATGGGTAGCAGCCTTTCCCAGCGCAGTTTGTAGAAGAGGGGGCTATGTTAGGTCTAAGGGATCTTATGGGGAAAAGATGGTGTGTGTAAGAACTCGTTCTGAACACAGACTATACATCTCAACACATTATCTATCTTGTGTTATTTAATCCTCGTTACAGCCCTATTCAGGCAGGTGCTATTATTTCCCCCATTTCTCAGATGAGAAAACTGGGAGGTTAGGCGCCTTGCCCAAGACCACAGAGCTAGTTAATGAACATCGGAGCTGAGGCTTTAAATCAGACCATTCCAGGGGCAGAGCTCACGATCTTCACTTTTAG